AAAGATGCCAGAATCATGGACAACAGGGAGAAGTCTATAAAGCTTATATTTAATGCTGAGGGTATTGCTCAGAACAGGTAAAAGGACTTGGGGCACAGGGTTTGGATAGGTGGTGGGAAAAATTAGTTGTGAGGTAGGGGAACAGCATGTAGTCTGATTTTCTGAGTCAATATTACAGTAACAATTAAAAAAAAAAAACCAAAAAAAAAAAAAAAAGGAGGGGGGGACGAAAACAAAAAAGCCCCAACACTGAAAAGTCTTTTTGAACCATTGCAAGTAGATTCTTCTGTAGCTTTTACTGGGCCAGCTTTCTGGTTAATGCCTGGAGTGAGGTCAAACTTCCCAAGGATCCAGGCCCTTTTCACCACTACTTAGTGCTGCTGGCAGACTCCATATTCTTGTCCCTGTTTGGTTCTGTTGCTAGCTATATTAGATATAAGTGCCAATTTTGTTTTGGAGTGATCAGCTTCTAACTATTCATAGTAAATTTTATGTGACTGGAGAAATCTTTCTATTTCTTGTAAATAGTACATAACAGATTTTTTTTATGAAGTTCATTTTCCCAAAACCATTAAAAGGTATGTAGTACATTCACCTTTATGTTTCTACCTCATTTTTACTGGACTGTTGTTTTAAATGACAGAAATGAAATGTACTGTTTTTCAGCACATTGAGACAATAGTTTAAATAGTATATGAAAAGCATCCTGAAGAGCAATGGCCCAGGAATTTTTCCAGCCCAGCCAAACTGTAGATGCACTGCTGGGTAGAGTTTAATCTGTGTAGGCTCCTCTCATGCAGCAGAAGTAGTTCTGTGCTTTTAGCTGGGTTATGGACAGAAATGATGGCTGTAGGAGCTGAATGTTGATGGCAGCATCACTGTGGGGACACTGGTGTGACAAAGAAAAGGATGCATCCTCTGCTGAAAATCTGTGGACTAGAGCAGCAAAAATAAGTTGAATGCAGCTGGGTGATAGGTCCAGAGTCATCTTTTGAGCTTCCACTCCTAATTTGAGAGGCAGAATGAGAGAGTAGAAAACAAATGAGAGAGTACAGCTGCTGTCAGCTTCCCAACAAATTCATCTCAGGCAAACCAATTACATGATTTCTTAACAAGACAGTAATAAAAGCTTGCCTTGGAGAGGCTACTTGTGCTGTGCAAGTACACATTCCTAGGGTTAAGGTGGTAACAAGATCTTGTAATAAACGATCTTCTTCAAACTTCTTGTTCCTTACAGAAGCTGTCACTCTTCCACTTTGTTTCATTCTAAACACTGGCAAAGTGAAGAAGGGCCTTGTTCACAGCAAGCCATTACAGGTGTTATTGTGAAGGTTGTTGGACCCATTTCCTTCTGAAGAAGGTTTTATTTGAGAGAGGAATTTTGTGATGAAATAGAACAGGGTGAAGTGACAAAAATTGAGATGGTTATCTGTAAAAATTTGTACAGGATGGTTTGAGGATACACTGACTGCAACATCATATCAGAAAACCCTTTGTGTTTGCACTACCAGATGAAATGGCATTATGATATTTATTTTTGTGGATCCCTCTTGCAGTGTTTGCATGCAGTGTAACATGCCTTTACTAAGAGATGGCCGATATTTTGAAGGTGACCCCTTTTTTTCCCTACTATAGGACCCTACTCTGCCTTTCTTACAGCTTAGCTGGGCTCTAATGGTTTGCATTGAATCTCCAAGTTTGTGTGTCTGAAAAAATTGTTTTGTAAAACTTAATCCAAGAAGGCTCAGTTGCTTATGAGAATGTGACTAAGAAAAATGTTTTCCCATATGAAAATATTGGGAAACTTATGGGACTTCTGTTGGAGCAAGGGGCTGTTTTTCTATAAATGTTCCATCTCTAGAGAAAACATGAGGTTTTAGTAAGATTATATTTCAGAAACTGTCCTGCTCATATTCTGAAGGAAATTCCTCTAATTTGGAGGCCTGAGGCTGAAATAATCTTAATGAATTCTCAAGAACTGAGAATAAATCAAAGGACTGAGAGATGGATTTTATAGAAAGTCTGTGAGAGAGTTGTGGCTAGCTGGGAATAGGAGCTAGGAGTGAATAATTCTGTGGGTGCTGGAGGTGTTTTTCCTTCTATTCAACCCATGGAGCAGAGTCTAGGAAAGTAGGCTGGAGGGGACATGGCTGCAGGCAGAGGAAGAATTGTCCCCTGAGAGAAATGAAGCTTCTGCCTGCCTTTGCCACAGGATTGTTCTGTTGTAGGGGAGCTCACCTGGAACAGAATGGTCCCTCTGTGTGTCCTTATTTACTGGGTGTCCTGCTCGATACCCACATGCCCCAGCTGCAGAATTCCCAAGTTCTCTCTTAAATCAATTTGAGACCCAAAGTATGCAAAATTGGGAGGTGCTGACTTCGGATTCTTGTCTGTAAAAGTAGAGTGTTAATGCTCCCATACCTCACTAGGGTGCTGCAGAAATAAATTTGTTTATTGACATGAGATGAAAGTACAGAGAAGGAAACTTTAGCATTTTAAATTCGGAAGAATAAATAAAGGGTGGGGTCAGACACTGCAAAGAAAACAAAATATTGAATAACTTCTCATTAATTAAGTTGCATCAGCCTGTGCACTGAGTAAATGAGGAATACAAAGGGGAAGCTAGTATTTTAATATTTATTTGACCAATGATTTTATAGAGATGTACAGGAAGGCTGAATTGAGGTTGGAGAAGTAATCTTCATTCTGACACCTAATTCTTTGAGAGCATAATTTTGCAATCTTAATGTGGAAGAGTTTTTTGTATGACTTGAATATACACAGGCTTTTTAAATGTCATTACTGTTATTTAGCTAATTCATTGAAAGGCAGCTCTGCCCTTCGGGATGGACCTGTGGGGAGAACAGCACTTGCGTCAGAGTTGGAGCAGGTGCCTGTTGAATGAATGAGGCTCTGGGCATGTGGAGAGACTGAGAGGTGCAGCCACACTTCTCTTCCTCAAAGCACTTCACAGAGCCTGCCAAGTCCGGCAGCAGCTTTTGTGTGGTGTATCCTGGAAGGATTTGTAGTAGGTTCCCCGAAAGCCATTTGTGTGGAGCTGCTTTTTGAGAGTGTTTGGGCTCTGCAGTGGAACCCAGCAGCTGATGCCATGTGAAATCTGGCTGAGAATTTGGCCTGGTTTACTGAGTCATGGTTAAGCTGTGCAGAAATCAGGTGTGCAGACCTCCCGTGACCCAGGGAGCCATTGATGACTGATGATTCCAGTGGTAAATTATTCTGTTAGGGGCCTAAATGTTTCAGGGAAATGTCTTCCTAAAGAGATCTAAAGTAGGAGCCTGTGAGAAAGGGATCTTTTATTGAGGGGGAAAAATAAATACAGGGGTTGCCAGTTCCCGGAATCTCAATCTTTACTAAAATTTGAAGCTTCCACAGTGTGTATTACAGCATCTTGGACAATCTTCATCAGCAGGCTGTTTTGCCATGTTTCTAGGTGTTCTACTTTCTGCAGTCTACCTCAGAAAAACGAAATTTGTTCTCTGGAGGGTGTGCTTTGTGTTTGATTAGTGAAGGAGACCTGTAGATTTGTGGCCTCAATTGCTGATGAGGGCAGGGCTCCAGGGTCATTGGGAGCTGGTGGTGTGCAGCAATTGTTCTGCTGAAGACTCCAAAAGTTACGCTTTTAAAATTGCTGTAGATGACATGCTGGATGAATGGATGACTCTCAGGGTACTGGGAGCAGCACTTTCTCAATACACTGAAGTTCTGTTTATGGGCTAAGCCACAAACAAGAAAAAATTATGTGGCCAAAAAATTGTAGACCTAAAAAGACCTTTCGTACTATTTCATTGTTTTAAGTTAGAGCAAGAGTTTAAATTGTATTTTTCTGTGTTAGGTTTTGAAAATATCAATATCAAATGCATGGATTTTGTATTTATGTTCTTTAAAAAGTGAGAATTCACAAAAATGTAAGTTGTGACTCAGTTGTGTATTGATAGCAAGTAAAACTTTCTGGTTTTTGCTATTTCCTTCACATGGCACCAGGTGCAGATGGCAGGCTCAGGTGTGCATCCCAGCCTTAACAATCACTGCTAAACTGTAGGAACTGATAGTGGGTGAATGCATTCCAGAAGCCCAGGGTATAAATTACTCATGTAGCAATCCATAGGTCTCCCAGTGCTGCATTTCTCCATGATTGTTGTGTCAGTGCAATTAAATTCTTTCCCCATCTTGCTCTTTCCAAAAGCTATAAACAATTAGAGTTTGTACAGGCTAAAATAAATTAAAAGCAACTTACAGTAAAACTTTTTTGGCCTTGTTGTGGAATTTGGAAGAGGGGGAGGTTTCTCTCTGCTTGTCTGAGATAACAAATCAGCTGCAAAATCCAGTATGGCTTGAATCTTCCTTTGGCCACAATATATTTGAATGTTTCAGATGAATATGAAAGGGCTCTGATGCAGAGTGGTGCATCTCTCATGTTTGTTGGGTAGTGTCAGAAGCAGAAATCTGTACAATTCACTTCTGTGAAAGATTTATTGGAGCAAGACTCTGGGAAGTCCAGGCACCATTCACTTGGCTGCTGCACTTTTCTCACTGGAAGGGGTCAGACTTCTGGAAAGATGCCTGGTTAGAAGAGTAACAGGATGCTCCATATGGAACCAGCTTTTTAAACTCTACTCTATGTATAAAGTAAATTCTGTCCCAACAGGCCAGAGAAATCATTCCCAGGAAAGGCATTTTAAGTTCAGTTGACAGTGGTATTGATAAGGGATTTGGGTACATTTATTGGAGTATATTTGGTATCCCATCAAAACCATTTGCAAACACTTTTTAATAGTTCTCTGCCAGTTGTATTGTTAGAAAGGGACAGTTTCCTGCAATGTTTCATTTCAAATGACTAAAGAAACACTTTCCCTAAATACTGACATACTGAAATTCAGAAGTGTTGAATTCCTTGTTATTGGAATCAGCAGCAGACACATTGCTGGAAAAGATAACTCACTCTGAGAGTCAAATAAGCCTTTTGTTTCTTTACCTGCCAGGTTCCAATCCACCAGAATCTCAAAGAACTGCTGGCCATCCGGACAGAGCTTCAGAAGAAGGTTGAGGATTTGCAGCGGGAAGCTGCCACACGTTCCATTTCCTCCTCCTCTGACAGAGGCTCATCTCCTTCCCATTCTGCCACACCAGTGCACACCTCTGTGTGATGTGGAACGAAAGCCATGTGCAAAAATCAGTGTCAGGTAACACAGAGGAGGGTGAAATGCTTTTCCCATCTCAAAAGGATTGTGAGTGACTTGTGATTGCTGTGATCTACATGCCTTACTCTGTGTCTGATACTATCACTATGAGGCCAAAAAGAGCTTCAAAGATGTGATGTATTTTCTTGTTGGCAGTTCCCACATGTGTTTTGACACTCTAGCTAAGTCACCAATCATGAAATTAAACTTTGTTTTGAGCAACTAACAATTTAACCATTCTAAAAAGGAATCCATCTGCCAAGCAGACAGAAGAATGCCTCACACATTGTCTAGACTACTATGCCTGGTTGAGAGAATCAGATGAAATGCCACATGATGCTTACACAGAACACAAAATGTTTTTCTGAATGGGAGCTCCTTATTTCACTCAGTAATATATATATATATATATATTTCTATTTTTTTTTGGCTAGAGCAATTTATTTTTTTTAGGTAATGCACTTGGAAATTGATTTTAAAATAAATGTTTTCCAGTGTAGTCAGTTTTACATTTCGAACTAAATATGCCATTAAAAGTGGATGAAGTTGAGCTGGGTTTATCAAGTACACCACACTGACTTGTATGATGTAATATATTTGGTAAAGCATGTATTCTAGGTTTTTTAATGCCTTTTGTACAAGTTGAAATAAAGTCTTTTGACTGTTTAGCTTATTGTTCAGTTTCAGCCTCCTGAGCAAGGGGTAAACTTGCTCATGGTCAAGGTCTTGTACAAAGTAAAAGTTTGTTTTCTAGCAAATGGTAATATTTGGGGTTGGAATGACACCCAGCTGTGTAAAGTGTATAGTCTGTATAGCTCCACATTGTGAAGTTGTTTGTTTCTAAGTGTACACACAAAATGCAAAGCTGTGTGTGTTTATACCCATGTGTATGTGATGTTAAACATATGCATCCTCCCGTGGGTTTAAGCTGTACATTCAGAAAATGGATCCTGCCTGTCCAAACCCTTCTGAGGACCTTAACTTGCAATGACTTTGTTTGACAAAGTTTTTTGAATAATATGACATTAATTGTTTTTCTTGAAATAAAGCCTCTTGGCTTTTTGGTTTTTTTAAATTCCTACTAGCATTTTTTCTGTAATAATTTAACTGTGTTGTCATGTTAAATATACACTCCCAACTTTCTTGCATCTACCCCCAGAAATACTCATATTGGAGAGATTTGATTACTGTAACATTCCTCTTTTTAGAAGATTACTCACTGGCCTTCTTGGAAGGCCTAGAAATGGTGCATGCTGCAGATTTTCCCTGGATTGTTTTCCTGCTGTGTTTCATGGAAATCTTTCTTCTCCTTAGGAAACTTAAATACTGCAGCTCTTATTTTTGACTCGTGCTTGTATTGCTCTGGGTTCTGCTGGTGGGAATTAAGCCCCATTTTTAAGAGCCAGTTGATTCTGTATGGTGATTGTGGGTTTTACTGCCTGTGAGTATTCATTTGTTGCTGCACATTTGTTCCCAGGGCACGGCGCTTTTCTGTGCCTCCTCCTCTGCATTGACTCTACCCAGCACATAGTTAATGAGTCAAGTGAGCTGCTGAGCACCTTCCTGACTTCAGCTGGAGAGGCTCAAGTGCTGTATCCAGTCTTACACGTTTACTGTGCAGTGCAGGGTATTTCAGCATGTCCTTTTCACTGTAGTGAATGCTTTTTATAATAAATATTCACCTGCACAAGCACAGTTTGGGAAGGCTTGCAGTGTTGCATCTCTCAATCAACCTCAAGCTTTTTATAAAGAGATGAAAGATGTTTTCCTTTAAAAATGGTTCTGCTGAACAGTGTGCCAGGAGGCATTTTACATTGCCAAAATATGTTGAGCTGGTGTTGAATTAAACTCTTCCGTACTTCAGATTTCCTTGACATTTCAACTGTATATTAAAGTAAAGCACATTATCTCCAAAATGCAGTGCTAAAGAAAATCTTTTGAAGTTTTTCTCTATATTTGTGCTAATAATCACAACATTTTCTCTGTAATTATAGCAAAAGCGATGACTGGATTAGCTTGGGCATTCTGAGATTTTTAAAGCTTGGATTTCTAAAGCTAAACTCTGAGAATTTGGTTTTGCATAGAAGAGTATCAGTTATTCTGTCCATCCACCAGTTTCAGCACAGTTCAGTGAGTCTGTGATGTGCAGGGAGAGTTCTGGGGGAGGGTCCTGCTGTCCCATGTGTCAGCACAATGGATGCATTTGTAGATACTTAGCATAGAAATATTCAGAGGCATTCTGTAGCTCATATGGGTTAGTTAGAGCATAGCTTCACACTGAAGAGGTGATTGGTGTTGTACTCAGTCTGCTTCCTGATAATCAGATTTTTTCCTATTGATTTAACAACTAATTCTGTCCTTTTTTTTCCTTTTTCAATAAGGCAGTATTGAACTAGGCAAGGGATTGGCAGAATCCCGTTTCCTGTCTGCACCTTGGGCAGAGCTGTTAACTTCTGATTCAAGCACTAAATCTTCTGCTTTGGTTTTTGGTTTTGACTGCTATAAAGGGAACATGCAAAGACAGCAAGCAGTTACATTTGGTTTGCAGGATTTTCCTATTGTCAGTGGCATATGAGAGGGGTTACAGCCTGAATCCAGTGTCCCAGAAGGGGATGAAGCCTTGGTAACCAGCTGAGACATTTTTTGCTTGTTAAGTAAGTTAAGTGAATCATCAGCATCAGAGACTATGCCATTTTAAGTCCTGTTTCAGATCTGAATTTACACTTCTTTCCCCTTTGTAGATAATTGTTTTGTTGTTTCATTAAAATGGAAGAAGGCTTTCAAAGCCAGTAAACACTCCTAACTCCCTGGTTCTGTTCCCTGCAGAGGCAGCCTTCTCAAGGAGTTACAGCTTTAAACAAGAAGTGTTTCGTTGCTTTCATTTTCCAGAAGAAGCTGTACTAATTCACGGGCTGTATGTAGTAACACCAAGAACAGCTGGTTCTCTAAAAGCTGAAAACAAGGAATCAAGAGCTCTCATTCATGTGCACTAAGCCTCACAACAGAGGACACCGTAAAATGGGCAATTCAGACTATTCCCCAGGTGAAACATTTATGGTAAAAAGCAAAAAGGAATGTCCATTTGCTGATGCTGTATCTGCTGAACTAAGACGGTATTGATAGCTTTTAACTGCCAGATCTTGGGCAGTTGGGAGGAAAGAGTTAAGAAACATGAGTCAGAAATAGTTAGTTTGAAATAAAAACCACCTTTTTTGCCTTTGAGACTGAACATTGCATCATTATACAAAGTTTAGTTTGCACTGCACAGGAGATTTATCCTGCTGGGTGTGAAAATGTAAAGAAAACTGCAGGAAACCTAGGGCACTGCCTCAGGGTTAGCTGCTGATGACCTGAGGAGAGAATGAGAGTGTGTCTGTGTGCATGCAAATACCCTGTGTTTAGCATTAAAGTTTTCATAGTGGTATTTGTTTTCTCACAGATCCAGTTCCGAATGGTTTTTTAAATGAAGTCTTCAGTGTAGTTAGAGAAGAGGTGATGTACCATAAGGATAGAGCCAAACACTTGCAGCTTACTTCCAATGTAAAAAACAAAGCCACAAAAAAAAAATCAAGTCTAAAATGTCTTTCTAGTTAATTTGGTTTATTTGGTGTTTTCCAAAGGTATTTAAATTCTGGTTTTTACCCCCTGACCCTTACACACACATTAACAAAATGTATTTTGTTACAGCGTAACATTCAACCCTCATTTGGTACAGGTCACTTCTTCAGCAGCAAGGAATCTCTCTTGCTTCTAAGTTAGAAGCACTCAAAAGTAAGAGTCCTCCAGTTTCACAACCCTGTTGCTTCTGAACTTCATTTGTTCCTCAACCTCATCTGTTAGAGAAGCAATTTTTAAAGCCTCAGCCTGCCGACTCATCCTTCTCTTTCAGAATCTGAAACAGTATTATGGACTAATTCCACTTTTATCACAACAAATGAGTAGTTAAGGATGACAGTGGAGCACTTGTAAGGGTTCGTTAGTGGGGTTGCTTGAAAATGACTGAGTTTATAGTGCCAAAAAGATCTGAAATTTGTGTCAGTATTCTCAGCTGAGGAATCTGAAACGAAGTACTGCCAAAGTAAAATGCAAGTAATTGAAAGAATAAACACAAAAAGAGCCAGCTGAATTCTTTCAGCTCTCTCTTTTCTCTGTCAAACCTTTGACAAACCTTTTCTGAATCATTTTATTGCCATTTAAAATAGCTTTAGAAGTGAGGTGTCATAAGAAAGAGCTCACAGCATACATAGTACAAAAATCTCAAAATGTCAGTATATATAGGTGTTGGACTCATAAAAAAAAGCAGACCAATTTTCTAGTGGTTTATTTCCTTTTTTAATAAAGGACGAGAAAGTTCATGCCATGTATACAGAGCTTAAATGCAGGATTTTTTAAAAATCCATATCCCAATTTAAAGTGAATAAATAGTAATTAAGTGAAAGTAGAGGTCAGTGCTGGGTCAGCTGTTCCAGAACTTCGATCACTGCTAGGAAAATACACAGGAAACCTCTCAGTTGCTATAATGTCTAAAATATAGATGATATAAACTCACTGTTTTTCAGAGACTGGTGGCAGTTCAGATGGAAGAGAGGACAAACAGCAATAAAAAATCATTGGAGCCTTTGCTGACATTTATCACTAAGACTCTGACTTTTGTTCAGTTTTGAAGAGAAGGCCAAGCCCAATTTCTCTACTGCAGAATTTGCAAGTATTTTCCTATTTGAAATCCTAGAGAAAGAAATCTTGAATTCTGTCACTATTCACTTTGGAACACTTCTTTCACTGTGCATTTATGGTTTCCCACATACCTACACACTACACTAAGTTTTAAGTACTCAGCAGTGTTTTATTAGAGCCTTGAACCAAAGCAGCAGCTTCTGAGTCCCAAAAACTGGGGTGGGTTTTCCAGCGAAACAGCTTGCTGCCCTTCCTTGTTAAATCTGACCTGTAGGATTTTGAATTAGACTTGTGCTCCCTCTGTGCCCTAGTGGAAGAGTTCCCCAGAGGAGGGGTAGGTGCTGTACTCTTTAAACCACACTGACTATTGACACTGTCATTGGAAAAGTGAGAGGAGGAATTACGGGCACTAGATGTAAGCTGGGAAAAACAGCCCTGCTGTAACACTTCATCTACAATAGCTTACAGAAAACACATTTCATGCTGGAGCTTTCAAATGTGTTTGGATAACAACAAAAAAACAAGTGCTGGTGCTTGGGACTGGAGATACACAAACTCAGCTGTGTGGCTTAGCCGGCACCTGAGCTCCTGCTGCCAATTCTGCAGAGCACATTTCCTCCATGAAAACCCTTCTCTGGGAGTAAGCAAACAGTGTATTCCATCTCTTTCCTATGCTTCCATTATCTGAGCCAATAATTAACATTTCTTTCCTATTCCAGACATTCATAAAACAAAGCAGCAATAGTTCAGAGCAGTATCATTGTAGCCTAAGCATTCTGAATAGTTGTGAGGCACCTTATAAACTGCTGTAGCTGTTCTGCCAGAGCTAGCATAAGGCTTTAAAAATGCAAGTGTTAAAAAGAGCATAAAGAATTGTGCAGCTATTGCAAAATACTTAACCAAGTTACTAGGCAATTTCCCTCCAAATGGAGCTGTTAGACAGCGATGCTCTTGGGCTCATTCACCTCCTGGCAAGGCCGCCTGGAAGTCATGTCTACCTGAAAGCTGTGAGTTTGTACATCTTACTGAAAGGCTTGGTTTTCTTAATACATGCTCATAAAATATGGAATTTGAAAACCTGTACAAAATGCTCACATTTCAGGTTTATATATAAATAGTGAGTACCTCTTACACCATGTAAAGTGAAATTTCCCTCACTTCAGAGCATGCTTTTTAAGCACTCATTGATTTGGAAAAATGTACTGGGAAGTGGCAGTTATCCATATTTTAGCAGCAGTCAGAAAGGTTGCTGGGGACGGATTAGAAATTGAAACAGAAATTCCTGCAAGATAGTGAAGGTCAGGTGTAGGCAGCAGTAAAGCAGCGTGGCAGGGGCTGTGTGTGCACTGCCCCAGTGCAGCCCGGGGTCCTGCTCAGCACCTCTCACAGCCCAGTGCTTCCAGGCAGCTGCAGAAACCCCATGCAGGACAGTGATGGAGGATTTGTCCTCTCAGGAGGTACTGCCTATTTTAAAGGTTAGGCAGTGAGTGAAAGCTTAAATCTTTTTTCTGCCTCTGGGAACACTCCTGATAGTTGCTGATAAAAGAATGAGTGGACTGTACCTTGTAAAGCTTGAGTTCTGTTGTACTGAGCATTACAGGACTTAACAGATACCTGCTTTGTTTATTTTCTTTTGGGTTAAATCAGTCACTTTTGCTAGTGTGACTGAGATCTGAACCTGTCCTTGAAAACCTCCATATGCACACAGCTTTAACTGTGGTGACAATGTAGGTGTCTGAAGTCACAGAGACAGAATCACAGAATCACAGAATGAACTAGGTTGGAGAATACCTTTGAGATCATCCAGTCCAACCCACGACCTAACTCATCAACTAAACCATGGCACCGAGTGCCATGTCCAGTCTCTTTTAAACAATTCCAGGGACAGTGACTGCACCACCTCCCTGAGCAGACAATTCCACTGCCCAGTCACTCAGTGAGGATTTTTTTCCTGATGTTTAGCCTAAACTTCCCCTGGAACAGCTTAAGACAAAACTGTATCACTTCAGTTCCATTCTGATCTGCAGCACAGTGGAGCATTCAAATAGCATTTAGTAAAAGTGAACACTGCCCACACTGCTGTCAACTGCATTAGTAACTTGGTGTGAAAATCAGGTCCTTTGGTTAGAAGCCGAGCGCTGGGTGGTGGTGGTGAAGCATCCTCAACTCCTGGCTTGGGAGCAGGGAGTCACCTGGCTCAGCCCAAGGCCCACACAAGGACCCACCATAGGCACTTCATTTTTAGGTGTAGCTACACGAAGGACTGCAATCCACCCTCAGGAAATGTGTAGCTTTGTCCCCACCATTGGAAGTGGCACTGCCTGGAGCTGAAGGCAGAAGGTGGCTGGAGGTGCTTTGCAGAGGGCTTTGCAGGGTTTGGCTTTGGATTGCTATTTACAGGCACTTCACTGTCCTCATACCTGTAAGCTCTTGAAAACTGACCACAGCTGAAGTACCTTCTGTGGATTTCCATCCAGCTGCACACCAATCCTGCACTACTGCTTTGATGTAAACATAAACCTCTTCACAAAAAAATAAACACATGCTACCAGTCTAAACCTAAAGCCTAGAGCAATAAAAAGCCAGTTCAAGCCTAAATACACATTAAATAGCTTTGGAGTCAAATTAAATTAAAAGCTAAATTACAAGCTTGTAAGATCTCTCTTGCTGCTGACTGATTATTTTCTAGCCCTGGGTCACGCTTTATATCTTCGCACTGTCTTGTTTTGGTGGTTCTGCTGACTGCGTTTCCAGGACTGAATACTTAACTGGGGAGAAAGAAAAAAAGTACAATATGAGTACAATAGCACACGATGGAACCAGGGCACAAGCAACGGGGGCGCAGCACTGGCTGATTGTATGTGACATTGGAAAAGCCTTTGCAGCAGCTTTGATTGTCCCTCACTGAAAGAAGGATCATGCTTCTCTTGTGCAAGACTCTCAATGGCTGGTTACATGAAAGCTGAATGTGAACTGCCATCGTTTGCAGCACGAGCTCCTTGGGCTCGTACCAGGCTTTCCTTTGTGTGCAGTAAAGGGGCAAAAGCACGGTGGTGGGTGTTTCACAAAAGCTGTAGCATCACCTAAGCAGTGCCATCATCAAAGGGACACAGCAGCTGCATGCAGCACCGGGGACTTGAAGGAAGTCCCTCAGCAAAGCTGTTTTTGTGGAGGGATGCAGGCAGGGGTAAGGGATACAAGGCTCTCACCCTGGGGTTCCTCGCTTACGACAGCTTCCATGTTTTCTCCTTTCACATACTCCGCGTTCAGTCCCTCTGAGAAGTACAATAAACAGAGTGAGATGGGAAGGGTAGAAAGTAAAATTATCTGCTTTGATGCCTTAAAAACTCTGGTAATGGGCGTGGAGCTGTACCAGCTGAGACGCCTTTCTGAAACCTCTGCAGTGACAGCAGCAGAGAACTCTTGCAGCCAGTAAGGTAAATTACAGCCAGCGCTGAGACTTGCTGGGTTTCAAAGTGCCCGTGGAGCTCCTGGCAGACACAGCTCCAGCAGCAGCTCTTTGTCTGAGGCTCCTGCTCCATCTTTATCACCCCACACAGCCCAGCTAATTCCTGTCTAAGGCGCTGAGCTGTGAGGAGTGTGGGAGGGGAAGGGAGGAAGGCTTCCCGGACAGGGCTGCTGTGTGTGGGGGCTGCGCCTCAGCACAGGGATGTGCCACAGCCTCATTAAAAGCTGAGTTATGCAGAGCTTCAAGAAGCAGTTCAGAGCAGGGCTGTGGTGATGAAGCAGGGTCCCAGTGGGGTGTCAAATCCTGAGTAAGTCCCTTCTTTAACAGTTATCCACAAGTGGAGCCGAGGCCATGGAGCAAGGCTGGGCACTGGTGGGAGGGTGGGCAGGAGAAAGGGGGTGGTCCACCTCAGAGCTGGAGGTGAATTAAGCCAGTCTGGGGTGTGCCAAGGACCTCAGGCATCCTCAGCAGCTCCTCTGAGGGACAACTGTGGGGAAAGGCAGAGGTGGGAGTGCTGTGCTAACTTGCATCCATTGGAGAAGGACCAGGGAAGGGGATTCAGGTGCTGGTCTGCAAATGAAGCCTGAGGAAATCAGACCATGCAGCACACACTTTTTAGGCATCTATAACTTTTCTGCCCATCTAAATATAGCTCAGGGTGTGGCTGTGCCTCACCACCAGGTCTGGATAGGGCTCTCTGGTATCTTCCAGCGAAGGAGGGAGGCAGGGAATGGTGCCGGGGCCAAGCCAAAGAAATGTGGTGGGAGCCTTAGGCAGCAATGGGGCAGCTGCTGCCTCCGAGTCACAGGAGAAAAGGGTTCTGCAAGTGGCTGGAAAACGCCCAAAAAGCCCTCCCACCAGCAGGGACAGTGCAGGCAGAGGCTGGCCCAGCTGTGGGGCAGGAGAGGTACAGCTCCCACCCTGCCCAGGCACAGAGAGCTCCGCACACCAAGAGGCTGAGCCACAGCCAGGGCATGGCTGGCGAGTACGAGGTGAGGCGTAAGGAAGGAAAGTGGGATGGAGAGTTCTAGTTCTATCATTGTGCATATCCTTTAGAGGAATCAGCAGCAAGTGCTCCTCGGAAGAGACTCAAAGCTGAAGGACAGAGAAAGAAGTGAGCCTCTTCCTCCATGCATCAAGTGACTGGTCACACATGTGTTTTGCTGGAATAACACCAAATGCAATTTATGTTTTTCAGTAAAAAGCAGTGGCTGACGACTGTTAGATTTCTGTCATGCACTGCAATGCATCTAAGGCCTGACATTAGCCCAGCATGCCATGTCTGATGGCTTAAATTAATCCTTCTTTATAATTAACTTTAATTTCCTGCTGCCTTTCTGGGGCTTTGTGTCTCTCAGCTTCCTCCTCATCAAAGCCTTTACTCCATTTTTTTTATTATTTATTCTTGCCAAAATATCATTCAAGTGGGGGGGAATATACAAGAGTGTTTCATTCCATCACATTCATTTGACTTTTCCTGCTGATCTAATCTACCAAAATGCTGTTTGTTTCAGGCACAACTGGGAAAATAGCACGATCCCAACAGAAATTTCCAACCCCAAACACCCTTTCCCTAGAGCAAATGGGACTCACAGGAGATTTCAATTGATTAATTTAAAAAAAGAGCTTGTAACTCAGCTGCTTCTAACTTCCCTCTCATAAAAAGCTGCAGGAGCTCAGCACAGTCAGGTGAGTGTTGTGGGCTGAGACGACTCTCCTGAAATGCTTGCACCAAGCAGCTTTAAGGGGCAGCTTGTGCAAAAGGTGTTTTATTTTAAGTTTTGCTGCTTAATTTGCAGTTTACTGGAATGATTGTCACATACCTGTTGAGGGTGCAGTGGGCTGAAGCCCCAGATGCAGACACTGCCTCTGCTTCCTTCCCTTCAGCCCAGTCAGTTTTTACTGCTTGCTGAGATTTGTGAGGTGTTGGTTTGTTTATTTTGGGATGGGATGGTTTTTTTTCATATTTACTGTGTTTGGTATTGATGGTTTGGTCCTGGGCTGTGTTTGTGTGGGTGTGAGGGGCAGTGTGAGCCCTGGGGGTGGCAGTGGGTCCTGGGGCTGGAGCTGCTGGTGGGTTCCTGTCTGTGCAGTCTGACACGGGGGGCTCAGTGATCTGGGGCTTTGTTCTGCCAGCTGGGGGCACTGGGTGGAGAATGGCAGTGGGGTTAGGGTGGAACAGGCGTGTGCTTGCTGTGCCCCGGGGCGCCCAGGGAAGGACTCACGCTGGATGCTGAAGCAGAACTTCTTCTGCTGGTAGGAGATGTAGCTGGAGACAGCCCCGATGAGCGCCATGGCCAGGCCGCTGGCGATGCCGGCAATCGTCCCCGTCTCTGCCACTGCGGGGCACAGAGAGAGCCTTGTGGCACTCACTGTGTGACACTCACCTTGTGTCACTCACTTTGGGGCGCTGCCAGCACAGGACACCCACCTCCGCTGTAGCCGTCGCTGTCGGAGCTGCCGCTGGCACCTGCGGAGACACGATCCCGTCAGTGCCCTCTGCTCCCCACTGCTGGGCTGGGACAGAGGGGACACCCAGGACACCCAGGACACGGCTGGCAGGGCAGCCCTGGCCTGGGAGTGGGCAGATGCCTCCATGGGCTGCAGCATTTCTGCTGCCCCGGACTCCACTGGGCTGCTTGGTTTTGTTTCTGAGGGCTTTGAAGCTGCTCCTCTCCCTCTGTGTGGGCATGGGGGGGTTTGTGGGATCCTGTGCATGGGACACCTCTGCCTGTGTCTGACAATTGCCCTCACCCCCACTGCTCAGCGCCAAGGGAACACCTGAAGGGCTGCCAGTGTTACACAGCACATGGGTGCCATCACAGGGAGGTGACTGGTGAGCTCCATCACGTCAAGGAACCCTCAACTGGCCTGAAGTTTATTTTGACATCACCTTCCCTGGAGAAACTGGGCTGGGAGGGGATGCTGCTCCCACTGGGAACTGCAGTCCTTGCCGAGTCACTTACATCCTGATTTATGGAAGCAGGTCAGCATTGTATTAATGCCTCTGATGCATCTTGTCCTTGGCACAGGGATTTATTAAATGTTGATTAGGCTCATGGTGTTCAGCTCTTTATGTGACTGCTTTTAATATTTAATGCTGTGGATGCTTGTGGATGGCTTATCCGATTGTTGTTGGATTTCCCCCTTGTTCCAGACACTGGTGGTCATGTGGTGAAAAGCAAATGCAGGCATGTAGCCATGCATGGCACCAGGGTGCCCTCAAGGTGATGGGGAGGCACAGGTTCTGTCTGCCCTGGTGGCAGCTGGAGCTGCAGAGCCTCCATGGAATCAAAACCAAGCATCTCCAATGGCTGGCACCAGGTGTGACCACAGAAACCAAGAACTTTTCCCTTGGCTCCAAGGCTGAGATCCCTTTTGTGCACTGCTCTGCACAGGGCTCCTCCTAGGAGCTGGGGGTAACCCTGAGCCATGACTGCTAAGGAAAGTAACTGTACATAGGTCACCACTTACCCTTCTTCTTGTCTGGGCTGTAGCCTCCGTCCACAACGCTGGCCAGGTCATCGTCTGAAAATCCTTTAAAAGGAATAGGAACAAACAGTGGTTGGCACCTGAGGGAGCCACAGCTGGGCCAGAGGTTGGGATCACAGGCTGCTGCATCCCCCCTTGGGAACTGGGACTGGTCAAAAAGTAGCACTGCTTCTCTCACAATTACCAGATGTTAACCCTGAATTACTTTAAGGTCATAGAAGACTCATTTAAATGCTACTGTATTATTTTTTAACTGAAATGAATGACTTTTAGGAGTGATGATGACTGATAATCACAAATGACTGACCATTTAAGATTTCATGGAATGTTTTGGTGGTCAGCCTTGGCTGAGAGTGGAGGAGGCAGGAAGAAGTGGTTTGTGCATGCCATGGCCATGCTGCTGTGCATCAGTGAGCCCCTGCCTGCACCAGCTGGGCCTGGGGTCCTGCAGGCAGGAGCTGACCCTTATCCTTCTCAGAGGGACAGAACAGTCCAGGGGGAAAATTGAGCACCAGCCAGTTTTGGTACACATTAAAAAGTTATCTTGCAGTGGGCAAGTCTAATTAATGCAGGGTAAGTACAGAGAAACAGGGCCTGTGAATGTGCAGCTGAATGAGTGGTGCTGTTGAATGTCTCAGCTGCAGTCCCAGAGGGAGCCCTGGGGTGCAGCAAGGTGAGTGATGGGAGCAGAGACCCAACAGCGAGACAGCAAAAGGCTCCTCCTCTGATGCCCTGCATTGGGAAGGATTTCCTTTGCCTTAACTGGAAGAGACTGCCTTATTCATCAGCTCACCCCAAAAAACAGATTTATGGGCTTAGTAATGAGTGTGAAAAGAATGAAAGCCTTGACTCTGCCAGAGCCTGGAGAGGGCCCAGGCAGTCCGGGGAGCAGTGATGCTGGGGGAAATGAGTGCTGGTTTGTGGCCAGTGCCACGTTCCAGCAGTTCAACACTTCAACCTTTCTTGCAGGAGCCTGAAAACTCAGCAAGCCCAGAATACCAAAGCACAGACAAATCACCTAGTTAATACAATGTAATGAAATAGCTGCCTGTTAATTACGTGTGTGAGCAGGGTATGCAGCCATCCCAACATCAATAAACCAGCCGTGCAAAGTCTGCTCCCCAGCTCAAGTGCTCAGGGGAACAATCCTCACAGACAAATGGTTCATTCACTAGAGAACTTCAGAGATGGAAAAAGAAGCCTCCCAGCCCACGGGGTGTGTTAGGCCAGGACCTGAGCCTGCTCTAGATTCACACCTTGGCAGTGAGTGTGAACCCCAGCAGCCTGTGCCCTCGGCTAAAGAGCTGCTGGGGATGGGGGAGCTCAACACAGCCACCAGAAAAGATCCTGGGGGAAAAAGCCTGTACACAGACATGGAGCAAGTTGTTAGGAAGAGCTCCCCTCTGCCAGGGACCATTGAGGAAGAGGCTCCTTCCCTCCCCAGGATCAAGCTGCCTGTGGAAATGTCCCCACTCTGAGCAGGCAGGACAGGGGCAGTGGATGCTGGCAGGACATCAGACCTGGCAGCACCTGCTCCTGTTTATCCCGTCTCTTGGGGGGAACCATGTCAGGCTGGGACGGATCTCCTGCAGGCCCCAGGGAACAGCAGGGCTGGTAGCAAACAGGACAAAGAGGAGAGGTCAGCCTACCTTCACCTGGCCTTACGTCCGGCCTCCTATCATCCTTCCTATCATTCTTATCATCTAGGGCATCAGCCAAGTCAAAATCCATAGGATCCTTTTCTAGAAAACAAGACCAGGGTTAGCAATGTGGTGATAGGCTGAGGAACTCTGCAATTAATTAATTAATCAGGGAAAAATACTGCTGAAAGAGATGAAGCTCCAGACACAAGCATTTCCCAATTCTGCTATTAGGGTCTCATGGCAGATCTTCCAAACCCATCCTGTTCCACGCCCCCATACTGCTGTGGTGGGAAATACCACATCCTTCCTGCAGGAACAGGGTGCCCATGGTTGGAGTGCCAGGCAATTAGATAAATGAGGCTAGCAGGAAAAGTCAGAGCCAAACTGGTGCCCTGAGGGCCCAGCCAGAGGAAGGCAAAGTGGCTGTACCATGCTCACGTGCTGGCTGGAACAGTCTGTGACTTGATTCCTTGGGAGTTATTTTCCTCTGTGAATGCTCAGTAGGCCCCCCTGGCTGACAGAGGATATTGCCTCTGACAGACAGCAGCTAAAAGCCTGGTATGGAGCCAACAGAGCTCCTCAGCCCTCCCACCCACGCACTCCTGGGTTTATTCTGATTCAAACCAAAACCCCACCTGGAAGGCAGCAAAATACTCAGCTAACAGGGTGCCCTGAGCCTGTGGGTGTCTGCCAGTGGAGTCCAACATACGTGTGCCACGACAGGGAGCACAACCAGTTCACAGCCTTCCAGCAAGCACGGGAATGAAACATGGGCCAGAAACCACCACGGTCCCCTGGGAAACACAGGGTAATGCTCAGATGTCCTGTCCTCTCTGTGGTTTTTGATATTCCTTTTTTTCTCAAGGTGTCTCAGATAGAGCAAACAGACCAGAGGTTGGAAATACAAGAACGAGGGCAGTGCCACCATCATGGCACACCCCAAATCCTCCCCCTGTGCCAGCAGCAGCTGGAGTGAAGCAGCAGGGGCTGTGGAGATGATGCTCACCTGGGTTACGCTTAGGAGGGGCTCTTGTTGTTTTTGGCTGCTTGGTCGTGGTGGTGCGAATGACATCCCAAAAGCCGCTGTCTGAAGGGAGGAAAAAAGACCAACATGATGTTCCCCTCTGAAAGGTGGGTTCAGGTGAGTGCCCTGTGGGGAAACCCACACCCTGCTGGGAGCTGGGGCTGCACTGGGCCAGCTCAGCGCTCTGGTCTTTGCACAGCTCCAGCTGATACTGGGGGCACCCCTCCTCCCTCTGGGTGCCCTGGGGATGCTGAAGCCTGCAGGGCTCTGCATTACCTGGCTTCCCTGGCCTGGGGAAGGGCTTGGGAGTGGGTTTGGCTGGTTTGGTGGTAGTCTCCACGGGCGTGTCGAAGTAATCAGCCAAGTCGAAGTCTGCAGGAGAGAAGGGATTGTTACACTCTGTTTGTGGGGACAGCACAAGGCTGTTGGCACACATCCCGCTCTGTGGGTGTTGTGCAATGGTGCTGCACCATTGCCAGGGCCTCCCACGTCAGGCTGCAGCTGGAAAGGGCGTCCAGCCACTTTGCTGCTCAATCGTGACCTATCACAAAAGCTTCAGAAAAGCCTGGCCACCATTTCAGTCTCCCCATCCAAGCTGTGGCTGCTGCCCAGCCCCAGCAATCCCAAAGTAATTCACTTCTGGGGAGTCCTGCTGGTGCCTGCAGCACCTCCTGAGAGCTGGGGAGATGAGAAGGGGCTGTGGAACCGAGCCAGAGGCAGGGACACCACTCCCTGTGCAGCTGCCTGTGAGTGACCTTGAGCTGAGCAGGGCATGCACAGAGAGGGGCCAGGGCACAGGAATCTCCAGCAGGAGCCTCTCAGTGCTATCACTCATCCAAAAAACACTCCCTGGGGAAGAAGCAACTGGCTGAGACAAAGGCTCAGCCTCCACATGTGTCCATTTCCCAGGGGGAGTTTACTGGCTGGAACAACCTCTCGCTTGGGCTGCGATCCAAGCACTGAAGCCCTGCGTGTGCCTCTGGCACTTGGCTTTTCTTGTCCCTACCAAAGACCATGGTGGCCAAGGAGCCAGACAGCTGAATTTGCTTAAATTTGTGCCAAGATCCTCATACAGGGGTGAGTGGATTCACTTCTGAGCCCTCCTCTGATGCAATTTATTGCAGGCTCCTCCAGCAGGACTGAGCAACCCTTCCTGTGACTGTGCTATATTTAACAGGGACTCTTTGGCCAAAACTGAGCCAGAGGAGCTGCTGGCAACAAAACTCATGTGAATTTAAGGGAGCTTCCTCAACCCTGGCACTGGTGGGAGCTGGCCAGACAGCACATTTGATGTGCACCAACAGTAAGAGACCTATTCTCCCCTGGATGGGAAAGTGTCACCAAAAGGACACTTTCTGTGGAGGCTTAGAATTAAAAAAGGAAGGAAAATATCCTCTGGACTTCCTCCTGGAAGGAAAGCTAGTAGGTGCCATGCAGACAGGAACAAAAGCTCTTGTGTAGCTGAGCAGTGATTTGTGTCTTCTCCATTAGGTTACTGCACAGTGTGCAAAATTCTGCCTTGGCTGTAAATGCTCCACTGCCACTCACCTTCAGCATGGACAGAAATATCAATATTGCATTTCTCTGGCCACACAGGAACAGTGCAGGTGCACACACCAGCTCCAGCTTCACTATGGGCAAGCAAAGGGGTCCCAAAGCAGCCGCTGAGGCAGCAGCACTCAGCCACACACGGGCAGCCCACGGGGGCTCAATCCCATGGGAAGTGCACCCCACACTGAGCTGAGATGATGAGCATGCAAGGTCTCACCTGTCCCACCTGCCGGCTTCCTGGGGCCCTTGGGAGTGGCTGTGACAAAACAATGGGGAGGAAAAGTGTTAGTCACAGGCATCACCAAAAATGTCACCTCTGGACTGAGAATGAATGGCAGAGATTTCAGCACAGCTTTCTGACACCTGCATTTGTAACCTCAGGCACAGGGTCATAAACACCCTGCACACAGTGTGTGACCACGGGTATCAGGACAGCCCAGGGGTGAAAACGGAGCCAGTGCTCCACAGGGCACTGCTGCCTTGAGCTGAGCCAGCATCCCACCCCAGCTGGTGAAGAGCAGGGAGCTGCACCAGTCTGCTCTAGGGCTCCAGGATCCAGCAGCACACAGGGAAGGGCAGACACTGTGTGGAAAACAGCTGTGAGGTGCCAATGCTTTGGTGTCCCTGGCCTGGTCAGTCAGTCCAATGACAGATAATTTCCCATGCTGTGTTGTGCACAGGAGGTTCCCTGTCAGCTTTCAGTGATACCCTGATACTCAGAACCAGCCCCCCCTGGCTGCTCCTGGGCTAAAACAAGCTACAGCCAGCCACTGAGGGCGGGGGGGGGGAGAGGGAGCAATATGGAAACCACTGCCTATTAATAGTGGCTGGCATTACCAAGTATATGAATAAATTATGAGCAAGAGCTGTGGCTGCTCCATTCCCATTAATATCCATTAGACTGGAGTGGTGTTGCTGGGCTTCATTTCCAGCATGTTGGTATGGTTTGATGTGATCCAACTGCAGAACCTTGATTTGCTTTTTTTCTGGGGCTGAAATGAATCCAGAGTGGGATGCAGCCCTTGGGGACAGTGCTGCTTCTCCCTTCCCTCACTGCAGGGACTCCAGCCTGGAGAATGCCACTTTCCCTCCACTTGAGGTGACCATTAGTCATTTCTAACCATGCTGTATTAAAGGGCTTTTGCAAAATCCTAGATGAGCTGCATCAGCCCTGTGACCAAGCCTGATACCCCATGGCCTATCCTATGCAGGAGAGCTGCAGTGAGCACCCTCTATTCCACAAAAACTCCAAAGTAACACAGCACAAGTGTCTGTCTGTTGTTAGACTACAGCACCAGAGGTTGCAAACACTGTTACAGCTTTCCCGTCCATCCATGTGGGTATATTCTGCCTGATCCCAGAGCCTGGCATCACTGGTGGAGCAATTCCCACTGGGGCCCTGCCAGGTGCTGGGTCTGGGGACAGCCACCACGAACTGCATGGGGAGTGCTGGGCACTGAGGGCTCCTGGCTGCTGGCACTTGCAGCTCTGCCACAGCATCTCCATGGCTGGGTAGCAAACGGAGCCAGAGACGTGTGTGGGTGCACAGGGGTGCTGAGCTCAGCCCTCGGCACTGGGGTAAGGCAGGTGACATTGCCCAGGGAGGGAGATGAGCCTCCTCCCATCCCTCAGCTGCTGTGCTGGCAGTTGGGTTTTATCCTTGGGGTGTAAAACACCAGAACGCTGCAGGCCAGCAGTGGGGCAGCCCTGAGGAAGTGTTTCCTTGGACTGAAGTGCAGAGAGGCAGAGCAGTGACCTGGGGCACCGTGAGCCTTCCCGGGCACCGTGAGCCTTCCCGGGCACCCCGGGCAGCGGCAGCAGGGAAGGAGCTGGCGCTGCCTGGCCGGGCACAGAGCTGCTCTCCCAGCATGATGCACTGGTTCCAGGCCAGCAGGGCCGGCTGGTAGGCATTACTGAGGCAGGCAGGGGAGCCAAAGGGGCAAGCTCATTGCTACCTCAGAGCCCAGGTGTGCTGTGCCTCTGTGGTTCCTCACGGGAGCCTTGCAGCAAGCAAAGGGCACCTGGGCAGCAGGCAGCTTCTCCAGGATGTCCCCAGCCCACCTGTGAACCCAGACCTTGTGTCTCCAGGCAGAGAGCATGAGGCAGCTGTATCCTCTACTACCCTCCCACCCACCGGCATCAGATCCCAAAGAACAAGTTGCATCTATTAACACCTATTTGTTTTCTCCTCTTTAAAACAATGCATAAATGTGACTTACGTCGCCTGGTGACGGGGTCAAACAGGGCATCTTCTAGGTTGAAGTCATCTGCGTCATCCCCATGACCTGGAGACAAAGAACCAGCACTGGCTGTACTCACTCCACACAGAGTAAATCACCTTTAAATAAGGCATGGCTAGACTTGTTTGCTCCAATTGCTTTCATTTTTTGCTGTTTTTTATCAAGCCTGACCCAACACTGGTGATAAGGAAGACATCAGCCCTCTCCAAATGCTGTGACTGTTAAATGCAGAGCAGCCATCTCTGGATTTTCCATTTGTCTTCCCTAATGGATGTGGTATAAAGACACATGTTATGCTTAAATTTGTCAAGGACAACCTACCAATTCATCTCTTGAGCTGCCACTCATCTCTGGCTGTGCTCATGATTATATGATTGCTAAACACCATGAAAACACTGGGACAGTGCAGACAAATTCGGCGGCAAACAAAAAAGCCCTATGCCCCTCTTCTTCTCAAGTGCCTTCCAACATCAAAGGCTTTGCATAAAAAAAGCTGTTGCTGGCTGCCAAGCACAACTTAGCATTTCAGAGGCCGCCTGCATCATCCTGCCTTGATGTGAACCAGGACAAAACCCCATCCCCATCCCAGGGATATACGTGACAGGCACAGGCAGATTTTTTTGTCAGAGATGCCTCACCACAACTCCAGTCCCATATCTCAGGGATAACTCAGGGCCACATCATGTTCTCCTGCAACAGGGCCAGCTAATCCTTCCTTTCTCTGTCTCTTTTTTGCATGGCATTAATTACTGTTGACTTACCCTAGTTCTGAATGTATTTGTCTTGATAAATTCATGCTTTTACATCTCGGAGCATGCTGAGTAATTAATATCCTTTGGGTTTGCTAAGTACTGCAGCACTGCAAGAGAACATTAAAATGGCTTTCCTCTTATTCCTACTGCTAAATGGATTTAGCTATTGCCACCTGAGCTCCAGCGTGCTTCATGAATAAATTTAAAGCTTTACTGACAAGGACAATAACAATGGGAAGGCACCAGTCCATCAGAAAGCAGGTATCAGCGTTTCAGTGAAAAACTTCACTGAGAGTGGTCACTGAGTACTGCAGCAGCTGCAGCTCGGTTCCACTCACTCACACATCACCTCTCATCCCACCTGTCTGTGAAAGTGCAGCCAGCAGCCCTGAGGGCCATGGATGGGATCTGTGCAGGGCAGGGCTGCAGCTCGCTGTGGGCTTCTCCCCCCGGGCAAGGCTCACACGAGGCGCTGCTGGAGGAGGTGTGTGAAGAATGAGTGTCCCAGCCCACGCTGTGCTGCTCATCCAGCTGGATGATGCCCGCCCTTCCCTGCGAGCCTGGAGGAATGGCCAGCAGCAGGCAATGCAGGGAAAACCTGTGTGAAACCCACAGGGAGAGGCAGACGGAGGAGCCCCTTGCTCAGCACAGCACGGCAGTGTCTGCCACCCTCAGCCTCCCTCCATGCCTCTCTCCACCCTCCCCAAAATCTTTCCCTCTTGGGCCTTATTGCTGGTGAAATATTGGCACTGTGAGACAGCTCAGGTGAAGCCACAGGGTTAACAAGTGTTCTGGCAGTGCGAAGGAGCAAAGTCAAAAATGTGCGAGACCGTCCACAGTGCTGAAAAGCACCTGCCCAGCTCCAGGGCTTGCACGGGGGGCTGCCAAACCACCAACACCTCTGCTGAGACTCAACACACCCATCATCATCCTGGCCTACTGCCCCAGCCTTGTCAGGCTAACAATTTTGTGCACTCTTCCTTTCCCATAATGGCTCTTTCCCCAGTCTTTACTGGATTTTCAGGAACTAACAGGACTCCATCATTTTTGCCTTGCTGTTTAAAAGCATGCTTAAAAATAGACGGAAGGGGAAACCCATGTTACACCACTGGTGGGATGAGAAGCGTTACCAACCCGAAGAAGGAAAATGTTCCATCCCTGTGAGCTGGCAGGAGGGCTGTGGCGGCAGCACCAACTCACATCAACGCGCCAGGAGCCCTCCCTTCCCTGTCCCTCGCTCCCTCTGCTCTCCAGGAGTAAGTCAATATTAAGGCACTGACTTGCTGAGCCCTGTGTTGGTGCATCCTCCCCAGGCTGGCAGTGCAGGAGCCCAAACCCCGAGAGGAGGCACGGGCAGCTGTGGGTGGGTGCAGCTCACACCTTCCAGCAAAGGGCTGTGGGCCTTGTGGGGCTGCACAGAGGTGCCCCCACAGCGGGGACATGGGCCCGGCAGGGAACGCAGTGTCCCGAAAAATGGGCTCCCTCCACCTGGTTTTGGGGGGCTCAGGACCTGCCAGCTGAGAAGCACTTACAAGCTCCATGAGTTTGGTGACAGCTCCCTTGGCAACTTTCCCCACAGGATGAGAGGAGGATGCCCTTCCAAAACCACTCTCCAAAGAGCCAGCTGGCACATGAGGGGGCCAAGGGGGGATAAAGGTGCTCAGGGCCCTCCGTCCTCATGGGGCTGAGGCAAACAACACTGCTGAAGAGTCCTGGGCTGCAGCTGCACCCTGCAGGCTTTCCCCACCCTGGCAGGAGAGGTGGCAATGTTGCCAAGTGAGGGATGGGAACACTGTGGATGCACTGAACTGCCCAGTAAAACTTCCCACAGAGCAGCAGCGCTTGGCACAGCCCGTCACCCAGGGCTTTCCAACGCTGCCCGTGGCAAACCAACATGCTTTTCCAGCTTCCCCTAGGCGTTAGCAAGGATTAGCAATAGATTGCCAGTTAATTGAAGCTGACAACATATGTATTTCAAGCAAAGGGTGTTGCAGAGATGTATTAGACCTTTTATAGATCAATAACCGAGCGCTGCTGTCACAGCCACACGAACTCTCCAGCTCGCTTCAACTGGTAAGACTGGAATGCTCTCCTCATTCTTTTACTCTGTTGTTAAGCGGTAACAAATCTGGTATTTTGTGGCCAGACAATGAAAACTCTGCCATCTCTTGGTATTTGTGTTTCCCAGGGATGCAGTTTTTTGGAGGCAGCCCTGCCACTCCCTGCACTGTCCTGTGCAATCCTTTGCTCCTGGGGCCCTGACACTGCTCCACAGTCACTGCAGCAGTGGGGATTCCAAAGGCCACTGATGGGAATTCATGCACAGCACAGAGTAGCTTCACAGAAAGGGTTCATACTTCTCGTGAGACCTTGAGGCCCATTCCTACACATCAGCACTCACAAGCTGCTGAGCTGCAGCAGAGTTTTGTCTATAATGCCCATGAAGCAGAGTCAGGGTTGTGCATGCCCTGAGATGTCACCTCCCCCACAGGACATCCCCACCTACAACCTGTTACAGGGCCACAGCAGCAGTGGTACCCAAAACCCCCTTTGCTGGGAGCTCAGTGCTGGGGAGCAGTATGGGGTCCTTGTCAGGGCTGATGACTAGGCTAGTTTGGGTCAATTTTTTCCCTATCCTTGCACTGGGTCTTTGGAAGAACTCTGCTCTTTGGCTGCTGGGAGAAACACACATCTCCTGGGGCAACTGGGGGCAATTCCAGCCCCGTGGGCCACCAGCCAAGGGCAGTGGAGCACCCATGGGACTGCAGCTCTATGGTGAGGGGGTAATAGGCAAATGAGCTATGTTTTCTGTATTTTTATATCTGGCAATCCACAGAGACCAAGCTGGGACATCACACGGCACCCAACATGAATCCACCAAAGCCAGAGTCAGGAGGTGGGGGGACCTCAAAGCTGCAGCTGTGTCCAGCAGAAGCTGTAGAACAGGGGTGAGAGTTATGGCCGAGCCAGCACTGCAGACTCCCCCACCTCTTGCCTTGCTGGGGGTATTTTTAATCAGAGCTAGCTGCTCTTTGAAGGTAGAAGGGTTTTGTGCCTTAATGTATTCTCTCCTCATTATTTTCTGTAGCAGGCAGCTCAAACACACAATTGTACTCGTCAGCTTTTTAGTTTTTACAATTATATATATATTCTAATTAAGCCCCTGTGTTTGACAAAGCTTGAATTACAGTATCATAATTCACACCCAGTATATTGCCAGGCTGTCTGCAGCACTCAGAGCGAGGTGTATTCCATTTTTAGTGCCAGCCCACGGATCTCTTTGTGCAATATATATGTGTTTAGCTTCCCCGGGAGTAGAGAGCCTGCGACGGTACGAGATTGACAGCCCAGGAGATTACAGGAGAATGCAAAGCAGGTACAAGGGCAGCAGAAAGTAATTCCAATTGCCTTACTTTTATGGTGCAGGCTGGATGGGCACTGCATCCACCTCAGGAGCAACGCAGCGGGCAGGGAGCAGCAGGAAAGCAGGAAAGCAAGTACTGTGGTAGCCAAAAGGGTCTCCCCAGTGACCAACCTCATCTCTTTGGCTCCACGTTATGATGTTGGCACACACGTCTGGGCACTCACAGCTGTGCTGGGACCTCTTGGCAGGGTGCTGGGGAAGGAGAGTTTGGGAGCAGAGGCGTGCTGCTGCACCTCTGGGTTCCATCCTGGCAGTGGGTTTCTGCCATTCAGCAGAGACACAGCCCCAGGAGTCTGTGGGGAGCAAGTGGCTGCTCCTCCATGGGCAGGATGGGGCTGCCCTGCAGCAGCTGGGGCAGCACTGAGTGTCCAGGGACCTCTCCTGGTGCAGGTGACAGCCCAACACCCCTGGCCAGGGCAGAGCAGATCCCAGCCAGGACAGAGCAGAGCTTCACCTCACCAATGCCTCCACCGCTGCTGTCCGGGCACTGGCCCAGCCACAGCCAAATGGGTGGGAAATTTACTTGCAAATCCCAAATTCTTGCTGACTGCTAAGGCCACAACACAGTTCCATGTGTGATGGGAGAGCAGTGCTCCTCGGAGCTGGGGTGTCACAGCCAGTCTCTGGCAGCAGCACTACCAGAGTGGAGCAGGCGGCCAAGGGCAGCTTCTGTGCAGCTGCACTGCAGAGAGGCCAGGCTGCCTCCTCAGCACAAACCTCCTCCTGAAAAGCAGACTTTGAACTTCCAATTTATCTCCTCAGCTGCTGCTGGGGAAGACTGGCTGCCCTGCACAAACAAGCTGCCAGCAGCCTGCCAGGGCAAGGGGTGGAAGGGCTCTGCTGGGAAGCAAAGTGTGGGAGAAACAGCT